CTAAGAAGGCGCCTTATATCACTAAACTGTAAATCGTGCAACAGCTGCTTGATTTTAACTACCTCGGATTCTTCATAAACAGAAATTAATCTTTTTTTAAAGATTTGTATTTGTCCGTCGCCGGTGGATTCAAAATTATTTCACGAGCTGATTGCAGTACTTCTGATTCTATAACGCGGCGATCGCTGTATAAAATTGAGTTTCGTCGGCAGTAATGTAACTCAATTTAAACTGCGCATCCAATTGAATGAACCATAAGGATGGGTCTCGGGGGACAAAAAGGCGGTGGTTTAACTGCCACTTCGCGCCAATTGTGAAGCAGCATCGTTGTCAACCACTTTAGATCAATCAAATATGCACAGTAATAATATGTTTAGAAAAATAATCATTATGTATATAGTGACATAGTTTCTTGGTACTTGAAATCAGAGAAGTTGGCGGCTCAAATGCAGCAGGCGATACATATATCCGCTGAAATTATGACAGAAATATATTGACTCGCTGACGGAATGCGGCACAACGCTTGAAATACATATATCCGCTGAAATTCTCATCACACTGGATAACTTACTGGTGCTCAGAATTTTGACATATAAACTCCATATTCGTGCAATATTGAAGATTGCTATTCGTAATAAATATGGGTCACCAATTATGGTAGTACAATTTTTTGAGACAAATCGTTAAATAATTATAACAATTGAATAGAATAAATATTATTTTGTTTTTGGTTGCTATGGGTTACCAGACTGGCAGAATTGAGTTGTAGTAGGCAAGTTGCCACATATCTATTTATCTATAATGTATATTAAACTTTTAATTGTTTAAAAATTGTACTTTTTAAAAACACTTATGTAATATGTAAAATAAATAACAGCTTTTTAACTAATTCTAGATCATCGTATGTCTGATTTTTTTCGCCGACGCAGATGCATTTCCGAACCCAAGGCTAGTGTAGTTAGGTAGTGACTATTCTTATATTTTTGAGTACTTATGGCAGATTCAGCATTTAATATTATTTGCATAATTTCTTATTACGAATATATTCTTACATTATATACTGAAAGTTTTTTTGGCGGAGGAGCGCCAAAAAGGTATTTTGCCCCGGGCGCCAGTTATGCTTGCTACGCCACTGAGTCAAACGGTTAATATATATATAATAAGAAAAAAAGGAATGTACATGAAGATATAAAAGGCCATAAAATGCATTAATTAACTTACATTCTTTCTAGTGGGATGTGGGTAAAGTTTTCTCTTTGGTGTCTTACTCGGAAGGGGTGTGTATCCGAAATTCCTTATCAGCAACGGGGGGCTTTGAATTATTTCAGGTGGCGAAACTTGTGAGAAGTAATTTATGGGACATTGGAGGGACTAGTCATGCTTGAGGGACATTTGTTGCGGAGTTCTTATGTGAGTGAAAACGTCTGTTAAGATTTTTTTGAAATATACTAGTGAATGGAAATTAATTTTCTGGCTAATTGTCGTGTCGCAATGATTAAGAATTAAGAAAAGGAAAAAGTAATTTTCACTGTCAAAAGAGCTATTAGACAGACTAAAGCCCATTATGAAATAGGTAAGTCTGAAGACAATTAGCTTTTTACAATATATACAATTGAGTAATTACACTATATACAAATCCTTCAACTGATAGTCATCCAACTTATACCGCCTTCTCAGGTTTAGGAACAAATTATCATATCCCTATCAGTTAAATGATTTAGAGTGAGTATTTAACGCCTGCTCTTTTAAGGCAATGGTTGATAAATTGATAGGGTATTAGATTATTTTTGAGAATTTTAATAAGGAGCAAATTTTTACGTTGTAATCTATCATATCTGTGCATATATTTTTAATACATTGTATTTGATTTATTATTGTATTACTAATAACCTCATGTCCTCTCGCGAAAAATTTTCATATTCATACATTCAGAAATATTGATATATCCTTCAAAAGAATGATCATCAAACTTCAACATCTTCATTCTAAAATGAAACAAATTCACCAAAAACTTAACACAACAAATCTATGCAGAGTAACCCCATCTACAACAAATGGAATATAACAAAATATTTAATTTCCAAATTTCCAATCTTGTAGCATTTTAAAGATCACTTATCGATCTTTGTAACATATACTTCGTTGTACTGATCATAACAACAAAAGCCTTACAAAATCCATAATAAACAAAATGAAATATAAAAATTGAGTCCTGACAGTAAACTAGAACTGAAAAGGTGAGTCATGATATTGATTTGCTGTGTCATGATAAAAATGAGCTATGAATATTGTACGAGTCATGTAAAATATATGAACTTAACACCATGAAATTTTTATGAACTCTATAATAATGATGACTTTTATGAACTCTATAATAATGACACTTTTTAATGACTTATGAACTCTGCCTAATGAATACTGAAAACTATTTGTGATCATGAACTCTAAAATACAATTTTATTCTCTTCTACATTTTATACTTCTATTTTATTAATTTTATTATATGATACATCATGCATTATCCTATATTTTAACACTTTATTCAAAATTCTAATTTTATTATATGATATATTATGCACTATTCTATACTTTATGTATTATGCTATATTTTATTTCCTATATTTTAAGCATTATTCTGTATTTGTCATGATTGTATGTTTTAACATTTTATTTCAAATCTGGAAAATTCAAAATTTTATTATAATGACACACTATGTGTTACTGTATACTTGATGTATTATTCTCTATTAATTTTTTTTTTTGTTTCTTTTCTATTTTAAGAATTATTCTAAATTTGTCATATGATATATTCTATACTAGCTTAATGTAAAACTCGTTTTTAGATTTCCCTCCTTTGGCAACGCTACAAAGTTTCGAGATCTGGTCTCATCCAGTGGGCTGATAATTGATTTACCTACTACACAGTAACTCTTCTAATGACTCCTTTTTCTAGTTCTTTTCTAAAAATTGTTCTCCCTTTCTGTGCTCCTCTCTTAATAATAAGCTTCTAAATCCCCCTCTAAAGAACTATCATCAGCTTTATTCTTCTTCTGTCCTCCCCCCTTGCTTCTATTTCCTCTATTGGGAGCTATACCTGTGCAATCTTTAATGAAGTTCTGGTGCTCTCAACACTTTTACTTGCCCCTGTTGAACCGCTAGTGGTCATAAAGTGTTAAAAAGTCTTCATTTCTTCTGCAGGTGAGTGGTCACTAGTATTCACTTGCAAATCTCACTTCTGACACAGCTTGTTAAACCTGGTTTTAAAACCTACTTCATCCTAAATGCTACTATTATTGGCTAAAACGTATCTATTGTTATACAGTACAAAGTACGAAATCCGGATCTTCATTATCCGCACCTCAAAACCACCACCACTGTTTTTCTTGCAGGCTTTGCGCATGTACATTTGATTCCCCCTCCATGCATAATAAAACATCTGGAGAGTCCCGATTCTTAATTTCACTTCGACACTAAATAAATTACCTTGTTATTGAAGAAGCAATCATTTTAGCATAAATTTTTACGATCAGTAATTTGGCTCTGTTGCTTTGTATCTGCTTGGACATATCTCAAACCGAAACATTCCACATAGATACATTGTTAATCTGGTGACAGCCTGGCAAATCATTATTTATTATGCTTTCCTTTCATCATGCATGTTTATCAAAACATGAAAACTTGAGTAATGACTCATGTAGCAATACCTAAACAATTTTTTTATGTTAGTAATTGATTAATAAAGGAATATGGTACCCTCTTTTGTTGACATTACGCTTCACGATGATTAGATTTAAGTTAAAGGTGCTAAAAAATGTTGACGAGGAAAATTTTACCAAAAATTTCTTTCCATATGCTAAAAATAGATTTTGTTGATGATACTCATAGACCCAAAGATTATAGTTAGGGCTATTTGAATTAAGAATAACTGATTTGTTATTCACATAAACCCAGAACCAAGGCTCGTAAGGCCACACCGAGTCGCAGAACTTAGGACCCACAGAGACTGCAGACAGTAAGATATCTAGTGCCAGCCCTCAATAAGTATCAGTAAGTACTCTTAAGAATATGTAGAAATTTATTTATTCAGGACACTGATAACTAACACAAGACTTAAACATGCATAAGAAATAGACAAAAGTATAATAACTAACTAAACTAATACAGTTCAGGCTTAATTGTCTCAGTGCACGATAGAAGAAAGATAAACCTTAATGGAACAACTTGTCATCAGTCACCAAGCTCATAATGTATAGCCAAATATGTATAGTGAAGGATAGCTAAATTTGATGGTGATAGCCGCTAATTTTAAAGGTTTTTGAATATCGCAAAACAAAGGTAAAATTTTCCAATTAATGGATTTTGTAAAGAAATGTGGATAAGCAGTAATAAATGAAGATGATATAAAAGAAGTTTTTCATTGCGATGACAATGCTTATCAATCAATTAATGAATGGTGAAATCTATAGTATGTTCTAAATCCAGAAAATACCACTACCGATAGTGAAGAAAGTGACAAAGAAGTTACTGAAAATGAGAAAATTTCAAGATAATTGGAATTCTCGAAACAGCAGTTGCAGGACTTCAACAATGTAACTAAACAAGAGATTATGTCTGGGTACAGAATTAAAGAGAAAGTATTAGCACAAAAAATTAAGCAACTTAAACAACTTACATTGAAAGAAATGTTTAATAAGGTAAACAAATAAATATTTTAGCCTTTTTTTTTAAATAAATTTTGATACCCTTTAGTTCATAAATACTTCCTTATTTCATAAATCACAATTTCATATTTTTAATTTTATAATTTCTACATGCCATCTGACTAGATTTAAACTGATGATCTAATATCCGGACTTTATACTATATCAGAGTATGCATAAAACTTATTTTGTTTTATTTTTAGTATTTCATTACTTGCATCATATACGATTTAAAAAGCAATACTACTGTCATAAAAATAAATACTTTATTTCACTTCTATAAAAAAAGCACAAGTACAATGGCAATTAAAATAATTTTAAATGTACGAATAATCATCACTTATTTTAATACTAAAAATATTTAACTATTTTTTACTACAATGATAACAGATTATTATTATTAGATATATCAAATAAAAACACATCTAAGTTAGTTATTATATTATATTTAGCAATTCAAAACATTAGAAGCACATAACTTTTATATAGAAATAACAGCAGACAAAAAATATAAACAACATAGAAGGAAAATCTTCATACAAGATATCAATAATCATTATAACGAATATTATAGTTACTTTTAAGCAAATGTAATAAGACCTTTTTTTAAGTACATGTAATGCAAATGATACATATACATGTATACAGACAGCTATAACAACAATATGAAATTTCTATACAGAGCTTATATGACATATTCTGTGTTACCTTTCACAACGTAAATTGCCTGCTTTTACAAACTTCAATTAGTGCTGTTCATGTGAAACAGTTCTTTATAAATGCTTTCACAGAATTGGAATTAAAAATTACTATAATTTACTTTGAAATTTAAAATTGTTTAAAAACTTACTGCAACATGTGCTTCTGCAAAGAAAAAAAAAAACTAGAAACTATACTAGAAAGGAAAGTAAAGTGATTTGCAATTTTTCCTTTGGGTAGAGGTGAATTTATTTTTATACATGAAATAAAAAAATTCACCCATAAAAATTAAAAAGCTAAAGCATTACTCTGTTTCCATGATTAACTGGAATTTGCTCCATATTATTATATTTTCATAGCACACAATAATTCCTAGTGTTCTTCAATACCTTGATTCATATTCCACATAGAAATTATTTGTTGATGAATCGCATATAATATTACACAAAGGAATACTATAAAAGAAATTTTACAAAAATTTTTTAAAAAATCAAAGATAATAGATTCATATATTTTTTTTAATTGTGTTATAACAGATTAAAATATTGAACCAAAACTCGTAATTCTACTTTTTTAAAAGTTTTAAAAGCAAGAAAAAATAATTAATTTTATAATTTTGAATTCAAAAAGAGCAAGTAATTATAAATTTATTCCTATTCATTCAATTAAACAGAAGAGTAAATTTCAGATGAAGAAGAAAACATGAAAATTACCAAACAACAGATTTTATTAGATTCTTGCAAAACTCTATTCAGAACTTTTCTGTGTAAATTATTATTTCAATGTACTAGTGTACTTCAATGTTATTATTTCTGTGTACTATACTAAGTGACAACAATGATCAATTACATTTTGATTTTAAGTTGGATGCAATTTCAATTGAAACGATACACAAAAACAAATTTTAATATTGATTTTTGCTACTTTCATATTGGTTTCTTTTTTTATTTATCGCATTTACAAATTCTTTAAATTAACAAATTTGAGATTTTTCATCATTTATAGAAAACTTTTGGAGTACATTATCATTTTTCTATACACAACTTTAAATTGCAATTTGCTATTTTCGATAATTTTTAGACAATTTAAAGATATTTTAGCTTACAAACACGTAATAAAAAATGGATACTTTTTGATAGCTTTAACTTGATCTAATAATATGAACTTGCTTACCAGTATACCAATATTTCTGTATTACTACAACAAAATTACAAAAGAAAAATAATATATGTGCTGAATATGTAATGAGAATTTGATAAAATACTTAACAGACTTTCATATACCTGCTGCAAAATAAAAAAATACTGCATGGAAATATAATTAGTGTTAAAATGGAAATAAAATGCAGTTTATATTTACAAATACTTTTAACATTATGATGTCTTAAAGGATTTTAAAGCATCTTCAACAATTTTCAGATTGACTCCATCATTTACAAGTATACTTTTTACACCTATATATAAAAAGACAGAGAAAGCGAGAATTACATTTTTATCTATTAGTAAAACAGAGAAATACAAAAATTCTGCTTGCAATATGTATTTACCAATTGCCTTCAAATCCGATATATTTCTCTGCTCATCATCAAAGAAAAGCATTTCAGAATACGGAATGCCAGATTCTTCATGCATTCTACAATTAAAACAAACATATCACAAGAATTTTAAGACTTTAAAAGAATAAATATTTAATCAAACATTTTACGAAACTAGCAAAAAATGTTAGAACAATTCTAAAATATCTGTAACAATTTTTCAGATTAACTCTCACATTGGCATTCATGTATACAACTTATATATTTTTGTCGATATATATCTTTTTATGTGACATACTGATATGCACCCATGATACAAATAATAAAAGGTTAAAGGGTTTAGACTTCAACATTTGCCCAAAATCAATTTTTAAAGTTTTAATATGGCTTATCAATAGAGATGGCCCAAGTTGAATTAGCGAAACATTTTAGAGAATACTGGATGATTTAAATGAATAGACATTTAGACAAGCACGAGAACATTACGTATCTTGTCTGTTTGAAAAGGGGAGGAAATGTAATGTAATTCTATAAAAATATTTAATGTTTTTATTAGCTATATTATGAATTAATTGCATTTATATTTAACTGAATCAGATTCAAAAGTAAAAAAATAATATTCTCAAGAACTGCATTTACTACTTTTAAATAGCTTAGTTTACTCATCAATAGCAGACAGATCACATTTTAAAGATAAATAATTTATTTTTCTGAATGGCAACAGACTTAAATGACAACACATTAAAATGAAACAATGCAAAATTCTGTTTCAAGAATAAAGCCCTCTTGGGCTAACAAAAAAGCAGTATACTTGAATGAAATCAAGCACATGTAGATTCATCACTACATCCTTGATTTCACGTGATGACTCAAGTATGATTCATATTTCATGTTTATCTGTATAAACAATGTCATCAAAGGCAAGGCTATTCTCTCCTCACACTAGGTCATCCTAATGACTATTTTTATCTTAACTGATGGTATTGTTCTGAAACTATTGATTTAGTGTTCACCTTTGAGAAGAATTCGGCAACTTGAAGAATTCAGTGCATTCAAGGAAGATCACACCTTAGCACACTATTTCATCCTGCTGCACTAATACTGGTCATGTAAAAGTCACTGATGCACACTGTTTTTACTGTGCACTGAAGTGGCACTGGATTTAGAGGCTATACACTCATGACATTCCGACTTTGGAAGATATTCACAGATGATAAATTTGGGCATGCATGTACTTGCAATAAACCTGAACCACTATATCATGATTTTAAACATCCAATAAGTAATGATTCCTCTCTGTAGCATTCTTCAAGTCCAAGTATCATTAGCAAGTAGCTGCATGCTACTAAATTACAGGCATACTGATCGTTACAATTATCATTTCACATCATATCAACATCAAAACAGATTGCAATGGTGCTGCGAAAAAACATCATGAAGCCATACTGAACGGCAATGGATAATCATTAGTAATGGATCTTTTTTTGTTTTGGTGCAGATGACACTGCATCCATATATGGAAGCAAGGTGATCAGCACTATAATTAATGTTTCATTGTTCAAGTGTCGCCAATCCAGATCGATGAGTGTCATAATACAGGGTGTGATTTTATATAATGCTCAATCTTCATCACAAGGAATCTGATAATACAATGTTGCATTGATGAAATTCCTCGACCAATCGGTTGACTTGCCATTTATGAATGCCCATACCAGTGCTCTGTTCCAACAGAACAAACTTATTTTACTATCATTTCATAGGTTTGCTAATGCTCTCTGCCTTGGCCAGCTGCATTGTTAGACCTGTCTCTAGTGAATAAAAAGAAAACCTCTTCAGCTACTAGAAGTTGTTCTATCAAGACCTTCCTTGTATCACAAAAATCAGCAAGAACAATAGGACAGAGTTTAACCTGAATTGGATGAGCTAATGCAGGGACGTGAGGCAGAATGCATTAGACCCAATGACTTATTGAAAGTTACAGTGTTTTTAACAGCTGTGTATTAAATGTTTGTATACTGTTCTCATTTTTAATCATTATCAGTGGTGACCAGTAACTTCTTTTCAAATAGCATTTCGGTTTGACACTTCTTTCTGGTTGCAACTTTCTTCCCTGACACGGAAGCTACAGAGATGACAATATATTTTTCACCAATTATATCCTAGGTTCATAACAGATATATCCAAACTGATATTAGATAAGTAAGAAGTATGTTTCAAATTCTTTTTATAATATAAAAGTATGCTTATTTACACAAAAGTGTTACTATTTGAATCAGAGCTATTGTTTCAGTGCATGCATCACATGTGCCTCAAGCCCATAACACAAAATTGAAAGAAAAAAGGATTATTGTGTTTTAACTTGTTCTCATCGCAAAATCCTTATTAACTGCATTTAATCTGTAATTATGCAATGATTCATCGATTTTAGAATCGCATTTAGAATCACAAACTCAAAATGAAATAATTTTTTCCTCTGCCCATTGCTTACTATAGAGGACAGTCAATGCTGCAGAAGGTTTCAAGTTCGGTCGACAAAACACGAGCGATGAGGTATCTATCTATCACCTTTGGATTCCTTCCTATGGAACCGTCTGAAGGAAAAACAAAATTCAAACTTACACGGAATCAATTTTACTTATGTCCTTTTAGAATTTAAAGTTGAATTCTAAAAATGATAAAAAAATAATAAATGCCTCTCCTCAGAAATAAAACATAACTGATTTGTAAACTGCTGCTTATTTTAATTGAAATTGTGATACTTTGCAAAAATACCCTCACCTTTCTTTATTTTTTAAAATTTATTTTTAATATCAAAAAGGCCACATTTTAAAATAAGACATAATACTACTTTGAATTCGCAATGGCTTTAACTAAAAAAACAGTATCAATATACAGTTGAATTCTGCCTACTTTAAAAGTTATCGTCTTCACATCTGCAAGAAGTTTCTTTCAACTAATAAATGCTGTATTTACTAACATGTCTACTTACTTATTTTACTAATTTTTCCTCTTGCAGATGGAAAAAGGAAAAATTGGAGTGATAACATTTTTGAGGAGAAGCTTTAAATGGAGAAAATGGCATATTTAGAAAGCACACAAAAATCCATGCAGTTAATTTACCGCATTCTACATTTCAGTGAAGACAGTTAAAGTTATTAATTTCAAATAACATTCCTTTTTATTACACCATGTATATTTGTACATATATTTTAGGTTTTGATCATAAATAAAACAATTACTAAAAGGTAAGGAGGGGCAAATACAAATACGGTTTCCATGCATTTGAAATTACAATATATATTTTTTCCATTTTATTTAGTGTTGCAAACTCAGCCGACAGGGGACGATAGCGAGCCCTTGAATTTAAAACTGATTTATTTACTTTTATCTATAAGGCCCGTCTACACAAAGCGATTTTCTCGGCTGACTTTCTGGTAAAGCAACAATTTTAAGGATCTGCGCATGCAACAAAAATCGGTCATGTTCTCTGACATGATTTTAGAACTGGTGTTCACATGCTCACTAGTGTACGATAAAATCAGAGTCTCTAGCATCCACAGCAGTAGCTAAGTTCAAAATTGTAGCTGTAGCTATAAGCAGAAATTTACAGTAAAATAGTCATCCATTATTTTGACTATTTGACAACCCCATAAGCTTTGTTTACAAATCGTAGACAGAGTGACGCTGTAGAGGACAGGAACACTTCCTTTCACAGCGAACGGCTGAGTGAATTCCTGTACTAACGAGAAAATTGTTTCTTATGGACAGGCAAGCTATCTTAGATATTGTTGGCCAGCTGTCTTTAGAATGTAGCTGAATGTGTACGATGTGTCTTATCAAGTGTATTGTCCTCGTTATAATATGTCAATAAAGGATTAAAAAAGGCTAAGTAATTTTCAGTTACTTTCTTTAGAAGCTCAGAAGATCAAGAACCAGGTAAGAGCTATTATTTATATCCAATTTGTTTTATGGTGTCGAAACACGGGAGCTGTAGTAATTTAAAATGGCACAGCCTACTGAATTAGAGAAGTTAAAAAGTAAAATAAATCTATTCAAACTTCTTTAACTAAAATTGTATATAAAATAAATGACACATTAAAGGGGACAATATTCATTATGAAGATTTGGACGATTTAAAATAGCAATTAGAAGAAAAAGCTAATCAAATATATCAGCTAGATTCTATCATAGAAAGCATTATAAGTGATTTAGAAATGCTTGAAGCTGATGTTCTAACTAGCCAGGAATACCACAAAAAAATTACAAGTTGCAGAACGAAACTAGAAATGTACTTTAAGCGTAAATGTGAAAATGAAAGTAAAATTGTTGCACACAATGATTCCTCTAGAATTTCTGATGAAGGGTCAGTGCTGGCACAAGGTTATCTGGCGCCCACCTGCAAAATAGCTAAAGACATGCCTCCCTCCCTTTCAAAAGAATTTTTATAGGAAAATTAAGTTTTGAAAAAAGCATTTGTTGATTTTTTTAATAGTTTATCGAGAATAATTTATTTTTCTGCGTTTCATATTTACAAATTTTTGAAAATATCTTTTGCATCTATCTCTTGACAGATTTAATTTTCAATGGCAAATAACGCTAGATTTATGAGTCTTTCCTGCGATATATTTGGCTGTAAATATTTCTTGATCAATTTTAATTTGGAGAATGATGTTTTGCTACTAGCAACACTAACAGAAATACTAAGTAGTATTCTCAGTATGATCTTCAAGTTCGGGATTGTTTGACACAATTAAGTTCAGAGTTTCGAAAGGGTCACTCATACTGGCTGTAAAAATGTCTTTTGAAGCTACTGTTTTGTCATACAGGTGTTCTGTGTTAATATCTTTATTGTCATCCCACTGTTACAATTTTTCTAATTTACTGTATTTTATTTTCAAATTAGCATTATCGATTTCTGATAAATTACCCAGAAAACAAATTATCACAGTGATTTTTCATTGCATCTTTCATTTAATGATGTCCAAGCAATATCCAAAATTCCAAAAAGATATTTGCCGTAAACTTCTCTTCTGGAGATTGAGGGAATTTGTCAGCATGTTCGTAATCAAAATGACATTTCTTTTTCCTTCATCAGACT